CTCTTCCTTTGCAGCCGAGCAAACAGAAAAGGAAGTTCTCCTCCTTTTTCAAGAGCCTTGTCATTGAGCTGGACAAAGAACTGTACGGGCCAGACAACCATCTGGTGGAGGTGAGATAGGGGGGCTCCCGGCCACGCTGCGGGGCTGACTCCGCACGCCGGGCAGGGTGGGGAGAGCTGTTACCCCCAGTGGGAGATGCGGGGTGGTTCTGCGGCTTACCCTGCAGGCACTCAGCTCCCCAGCCCAGCGCCTGTCCTGCTGCGAGGGGATTGAGCAAGGTGCTTTTGGGTGCCAGGGCCCAAAAACACCTGGTGCTTGCCAGGCTCAAGTGCCCTGGGGCTTGCCAGGCTCAAGTTTACAGCTGCATTTTCCTCCCTGGTGCTGGCCAGTGGCCTCAGTGACCGGCTACCAGCAGTAAGTGCTGCCCGCTGGGCTCTTAACCCCCTCGTGCCCACAAGTAGGCAGCTAGAGCCGAGGGGTGTGGGGCTGCAGAGAGGACATGACTCTGAGAGGTGGGTTGAGCAGCTCTGGGCCCCACAGATTTGGAAATACGAGGCCCAACACAGGTAGTGATGCCACAGAAAGGCTCATCTGTGTGTCCCAGTGCCAAGTGGAGGAAAAGGGTCTCCCCTGTTACCTCCCGACCCCCACTGCCTGGCTGGAGGGTCCTTGGGGAGATTAAGCACTGCCTGTGAGTGGGATCAGACCTTTTTTGGGGTGCTCCTGCCTGGAGCATGCTTTCCCTGCACCCAGCTCACACTTTTTGCCCCAAGAAACACTTGTTTCTGTGGTGGTGCCCACTACGGTGGGGGCGAATCCCCTTCACGCATGGGGTGGTTTGTGAGAGCAGTTCTGATGCTCAGCCCCTGCACTGGCTGAGGCAGGATTGATCCCGCATTGACTCCAGGAGCTGTTTGAGCCCTTGACATCAAGTGCTCAGGGCTGTAACTCCCCCAGCCCATCCAAACTCCCATCCGTCTCTGGGCTGGAGCACATCAGGCTGTGTCTGTTGGACTGGGTGGGCTCTCGGCTGAAGCCCACTGGGGTCAGACTCGCAGGGGTGGGATCCAGGCTGTCTGCCGCTGCCAGACGCCTGCGCAAAGCCTGAGCACTGGCGCTCTCTGCTCCTGGCTGCAGACACAAACTGTTAGCGGGTGGCTTGTCGTGGTCCTGGAGTTGATTGGTGTCCCCTTGGTCTTTCATAGTGGCACCGGCTGCCCACAACCCAGGAGACTGATGGCTTCCAAGTGAAGCGTCCCGGTGACGTCAATGTGAAATGCACTCTGCTGCTCATGCTGGATCACCAGGTAGGGGCACCAGGGCTTTTTGGGTGCTGACCATGACTTGCTGCCCTTCCTCCAGCACAGCTTGTCTGTGCGTGGAGGTCCGGTGGGGTCAAACGGGTCTGGGCTGGGGCAGAGCCTTAATATGAGGCCGTTGGGTGGCTGTGGGGATGGAAAGGAGCACAGAGAGCCCCAGGCGCAAACCTTGCAGCCTGTGGTGACACAAGTGTGTGACACGAGGGCCGCGTGGGGCAGCACGCCCGCAGGGGGGGCCCTTCCGAGTGCCAGACCCACTTCATCCTGCCTGTCCCTGCAGCCACCACAGTACAAACTGGACCCTCGCCTGGCTCGCCTGCTCGGGGTGCACACCCAGACCCGCGCCAGCATCATGCAGGCGCTCTGGCTCTACATCAAGCATAACAAGCTGCAGGACAGTCACGAGAAGGAGTACATCAACTGCAACCGCTACTTCCGCCAGGTCAGCCCTCGCCCCACGGCACCAGCACGCTTTGCTGGGAGGAGAGCACCCTTCCCACCTCTAGTAAGGCCAGAAAAAGCATCTTTTCTGGCTCAAAACAGACACTCCAGACTGCCCAGTCTCCATTTACGCCCCTTCCCCAGGCTCTAGCTTGCATCCATCAGCTCACCATGCACAAACCAGGGCTGGGCAAGTCCCCCTGCTCCTGCCTGACCCTTTCCATGGCGGGTGGAAGGAGCCCCTGCCGTGGACAGCAAACCCTCTGCTTTGCCCCTCCAGATCTTCAACTGCATCCGCATGCGCTTCTCTGAGATCCCCATGAAGCTGGCGGGGCTCCTGCAGCACCCAGATCCCATCATCATCAACCACACCATCAGGTAGGGGTGGGAAGTCGCGTTGGGCAGTGTCCCGCGGGGCTGGTGGTCTCTGCGGGGTGGAGGGGCAGGGTACGTCCCCGGCAGGGTGCAGGAGGGGAGGAGGGCAGTACCTGCAGGGGCTACGAGGTCTCCAACCCAAAGCAGCAGTGAGTACAAGTTGCTTGGGAGGGGAAGAATCAGCCAAACAAATCTGGGGGCTTCTTGGGGCAGTCAGTGGGGTGCCCGTGTCGCTGTCAGGTGAGTCCATCCACCCCTACGTTGGGGTGGAGGCTGAGGAAGTTGCCTGTATCAGCAATAGTGTGGTGACCAGGACTGGGAAGGTGATCATCCCCCTGTGCTCGGCACTGGTGAGACCCCACCTCGAACACTGTGTTCAGCTTTGGGCCCCTCATGACAAGAAGGACATTGAGGTGTTGGAGTGAGTCCATGGAAGGGCTACAAAGCTGGTGAGGGGTCTGGAGGACACGTCTTATGAGGAACGGCTGAGGGCCCTGGGGGTGTTGAGGCTGGAGAAGAGGAGCTGAGGGGAGACCTTCTCACCCTCTACAACTCCCTGACAGGAGGGGGGTAAGGGGGGGGGGGCTGAGCTCTTCTCCCTGGGGACAAGTGACAGGACGAGAGGAAATGGGTTCAAGTTATGTCAGGGGAGGGTTAGATTGGATGTTAGGAAACATTTTTTCACTGAAAGGGTTATTAAACATGGGAAGAGGCTGCCCAGGGAGGGGGTGGATTCGCCTTTTTAAAAATAGGGTAGAGGTGGTACTTGGGGACGTGGTTTAGAGGTGGTTTTGTCAGGGTAGGGTAATGGTTGGACTTGATGATCTTAAAGGTTCCTTCTGACCTCAGCAATTCTATGATTCTATGAAGTCCTCGCTAACACCCTGCTTCCTCCCAGTGTGGACCCCAATGACCAGAAGAAGACGGCCTGCTACGACATCGATGTGGAGGTGGACGATCCCCTGAAAGCTCAGATGAGCAACTTCCTGGCTTCCACCACCAACCAGCAGGAGATCGCCTCCCTGGATGCCAAGGTTGGGGGGACACCTGTGAGGGGGGGAGCTCTGCCCAGCCAGGGTGGCAGCAGGGTGACACTTTGAGGCTGCACCGAGCTGGGGGGAGCTTGGTGTCCTGTTCTGGGCGTGGGGCAGAACAGCCGCCTCTCATCCCTTGTCATCTCCTTAGATCCATGAGACCATCGAATCCATCAACCAGCTGAAGACGCAGCGCGATTTCATGCTGAGCTTCAGCAACAACCCGCAGGATTTCATCCAGGAATGGATCAAATCCCAGAGGAGGGACCTCAAGGTGAATCACAGAATGGTTTAGGTTGGAAGGAACCTTAAAGACCATCCAGTCCCACCCCCTGCCCTGGGCAGGGCCACCTCCCTCCAGCCCAGGTTGCTCCAAGCCCCGTCCAACCTGGCCTTGACCACCTCCAGGGATGGGGCAGCCACAGCTTCTCGGGGCAACCTGCCCCAGGGGCTCACCACCCTCACAAGGAAAAATTTCTCCCTCAGATCTCATCTCAATCTCCCCTCTTTGTTTGAAACCCTGGGGCCGGGCAGGGTGAGGGGCTGGGAGCAGGGGCAGTCCAGCCCTGGCACTCACCCCATGTTCCCCCCACCCCATTCCTTGCTCAGATAATAACGGATGTGATCGGGAACCCCGAGGAGGAGCGGCGAGCCGAGTTCTACCAGCAGCCCTGGGCACAGGAGGCTGTGGGCAGACACATCTTTGCCAAGGTGGGCTCCGTGCCGTGCCGGTGGGGTACTGCAGCAGGTTGGGACGGCAGCCGGGGGGTTCCTGGGGCAGCCCCTCTCCCTGCCTGACCGCCCTCCTCTCCTCCAGGTCCAGCAGCGTCGGCAGGAACTGGAACAAGTGCTCGGGATCCGCCTCACCTAAAGGGTCGGTGGAGGCTCGGGAGCTCCTTCTCCTCTCCCTGCTGCCTGAGCCTGACGGTACTTCTTACTGGAATCAAATACAGCACTTGCACAAACCCTACGTGCCTGGAGGGATTCGGAGCCACTAGCCCCCCCTGGGCTCCCCTCGGCCGGGAAGCTCTAGCCACAGGCAGAGCACAGCGGAGGGTCCCCCGGTTCCCCCCAAAGTCCCGCTGCAGCTTTTCTGCTGCGTTAACGCGTCCTGCTTTTTTTTTTTTTTTTTTTTTTTTT